AGCACTGGGTGTTATACGCAAACAATGAATCATGGAATACTACATCAAAAACTAATGATGTAATGTATGGTGATTAACATAGCATAATAAAAAAATGTTAAAAAAATAATAAATAAATAAATAAATAAAATAAAATAGCAACTCCCTATTTAAAAAAATGTGTTATGGAGGTATTTCCTATACCAATTTGACATCACAAAATAAAAACAGACACAATTCACTACTGTTGGTATACTAAAATATTTACATTTTAGGATGCCTGGGGAATGGCATTTATGTTTGAATGTCTACACAGGTCATTTAGTCTGCCTCAGGGCTCTTCTCCTCCCATCAGCCCACCTTCTACATGGAGGCTTTCCATGTCATCCTCCATGCACCCCATTTCTAAATTAGGCCTCTCATTCTCTGAGCACCTCAAACATTTCCTTGATTGAATTTATATAGTTCAAACAGGACATGACCATGTGTGTCTTCTTTTGTTCCTTGCATGTAGTACAGCGTCTAAACTTTCAGTAGGCACCAACTAAATGTTTCTTAAATGAATGGAATGGATGTAAAATGTATGTCTATGCATAGGAAAACAATAAAGGGTACACAGATAATAAAAATAACTGATTTCTTAAGGTGATGGGTAAATGGGTCATTCACTGTCTACCCTTTTTTGTGATGTCTATTTAAGGTGCCAAATACAGGGGTGCCTGGGTGGCTCAGTGGGTTAAGCGTCTGCCTTCAGCTCAGGTCATGATCCCAGATTCCTGGGATCGAGCCCCGCATCAGGCTCCCTGCTCAGTGGGAAGCCTGCTTCTCCCTCTCCCACTCCCCCTGCTTGTGTTCCCTCTTTCGCTGTGTCTCTCTGTCAAATACATAAATAAAATCTTTAAAAAAAATAAAAAAAATAGGGGCGCCTGGGCGGCTCAGTGGGTTAAGCGGCTGCCTTCAGCTCAGGTCATGATCCCAGGGTCCTGGGATCGAGCCCCGCATCGGGCTCCCTGCTCGTCGGAGAGCCTGCTTCTCCCTCTCCCTCTGTCTGCCGCCCTGCCTACTTGTGCCCTCTATCTCTGTTAAATAAATAAATAAAGATCTTTAAAAAAAAATAAAAAAATAAAAATAAATAAATAAATAAAAATAAGGTGCCAAATACATATTAGATACTCATTAACTAATTAATTGAGACTAAATACAATGAAATGGGGGGATGCATTTCCCTCCCCAAGAAGGGATGTTTAAAGATGATTTATGACAATGGTAATAAGGTGAGAAGGGAGAGTGGCAGCGATAATCGCCACCTAAAAATAGCAAAAGGTCTACCACGTGGAAGAAGTATGCTACAGGTGGAAATTATACAGAGGGTAATTTTCAGCTTCATAAGATATATTCTCTGACTTAAAATAATAATGAACGGTGGTGGGACTGATTTTTCCGGCTTTAAAAGTAAAATCTGGATGTTATCCTCAGAGGGGTATTGAAGCAAGAATACAAGTGGTACAGTCCTGGAGGATGAATCTTAATTTATGGCCTTTGATTCTACACAGTTTAGTTTAAGGTCATTCTCCACTTAGGAATTGCTTCAGGGCTGTGGGAAGCTTCTGGTGTCCCCAACAGACAAGTTCACTTCTAGATTTTCTTTAGGGACATAGAAGATAGGCCGACAGGAAACCTGAAGAGATGGCCATTTGGAAGTTGATAAATCACATTAAAGGAATACTCAGGCCTTAACAGCCACACTGCTCCCGCAATGTAAAAGAAGGTTAGAAAAGTTTGAGGAAGAGCTCTAGACAAGTAGGAAACAGAAACAGAGTTAATGAAACACTAAAATGCAGAGTAGAGAACAAGGCCATCCACAAAGCTACTGATGACGCCTTCCCAGCTACTTCCTGATGTCCACCTGTGGAATGTTAACGGATTAACAGCTGCCAAAGATGGAAAGGAACTCAAGGAGCATTTAGGCTGATTTTCTCATTGGGTGGATACAGATGCCAAAGCTCTCAGACACAGACTGACGTGCCTAAGGTCACCAGCTGAGTAGCGTCAGGGCTGGGATGAGTGGATACAGATGCCAAAGCTCTCAGACACAGACTGACGTGCCTAAGGTCACCAGCTGAGTAGCGTCAGGGCTGGGATGATGGCCTGGTTTCTGTGTTTTTTCATCCAGTGCTCTTTCCACTATAATCTGTCCTAACCTCTCCTACAAAGCTGTCTTGGGACATAAATAGTGGACAAGGGGTTCTTTGGAAGACACACACTGGTCTAGAGTCCACTCCCATAAAATAAAGAGTTGGGTGAAAACCTCAAAAGCACCTTCAGAGGTTCCAAGGGACTCCCAAGGACACAGTGATGAAAATGCTTTCTGTGACAGAGAAGAGGTCCTTTTTCATTTAATTGTAACACAGCTTAAATATATCAAAAGGTAGTCACATCTCTCCATCAGAGAACAGTTCATAGCCATGAGAGACAAGGGACATTCAAAAGATGGTGTGGAATTATCTATTGTTATGTTATTCTATGCTGTTGTATTGTTATATCATTCAGCCCTATTGTTATGGGCTGAATTGAGTCCCCTAAATTCATATGTTGAATACCTAAACTCCAGTAATTCAGAATGTGACCATATTTGGAGACAAGTCTTGAAAGAGGTAATTAAGGTAAAATGAGAATGGTGGGCCCTAATCCAATATGACTGTGTGCTTATAAAAGAGGAGATTAGGACAGAGATGATGCAGGGGGGAGACCATGTGAAGACATGGAAAGAAGATGGCCATCCACAAACCAAGGAGAGAGAAATGACACCAATCCTGCCAACACCTTGATCTTGGAATTCTAGCCTCCAGAACTGCAAGAACACAAATTTCTGGTATTTAAGCCACCGTCTGTGGTGTTTTGTTTTAGTAGCCCTAGCAAAGATAGGAAACTGTGTAAAAACAAAACAAAAACAAAAACACTCATAATCCATAAGCCAGATGGGAATTTAAAAAACAAAGTCAGGCTTGGAAGCTAAAAGGGGACCTTGGGAAAAAAAGTAGCCAAAGATCTAAGCCTCAAAAATGATTATTCTTCAGAGGCACTTCAGGTTTTGTTTTGTTTTTTTTTTTAAGATTTTATTTATTTGCAAGAGAGAGAATGAGAGACAGAGAACGTGAGAGGGAGGAGGGTCAGAGGGAGAAGCAGACTCCCTGCTCAGCAGGGAGCCTGACGTGGGACTCGATCCCGGGACTCCAGGATCATGACCCGAGCCAAAGGCAGTCGCTCAACCAACTGAGCCACCCAGGTGCCCCGCACTTCAGGTTTTTTAAAGCTTTTTTTTTTTTTCAGAGCAGAAACAGTATTAATCTGTGGTAATAGAAGAATAGGTATATTATGGAATAAAATGCAAAATCTACATGAATTTTCAAGATTAAACAAAGTGGATCTGAAAGAAATTTTGCAGTCTTGGTGGGGTTCTTTGGATTATATTCTTAGATTCCCAGTGATACGGTGTTTATTTGCTTTGTAGGGGAATTTTGGTGAAAAAGTTTGAAAGGCATTGTTCTAAATACATTTGATATCTCCCAAATATTCTTTCTTCCATAGGCATCCTAAGGCTTTCTTCTGTGTCAGGGACCTCGAAAGATGCCAAGAATAACAGAAATGAATAGGTCCTGCTCTCCACCCTGCTCATTGTCTAGGGAAATAGATGCTTGCAGGTGGGGCAGAAATGCAGGCAGGTTCTAACATCAGGGAAAAGGCACAAATAAACAAGGCTCTATGATTAGATAATCTTGATATACATCAGGGTTTGAAAAGGAGCCACTTATGGAGAAAGTTCGCAGGAGTACAGCCATTTTTCTCTGCACACCTCTTAGGCAACCTCTGCTAATCCACTGAGGTGAGGTGTAACTCCAGATGTTTTCTTCCCTTACATATTCAGTCTGACATATACATCTGGAAAAACTGTGGTTGTAATTTCTTCCCTGAAGAAATTACATCATCCAGGAACTAAAGGGAAAAGAGACAGTCATCACCAAGAATCAGGCTACCTTAACATGCAGGTGTAGTTGCCCGTGTCATTGAGGAGGGTGGGTCGGAACCAGAGCACGTCTTTCTCCTTACTGATGCGGTTGTCAGGGAGGCGGAAGTTAATCGGCTCCTCCAGGTCCCGGTCCTGCCTCGTCCAATACCAGATCAGAGTAAGGCCCGCCGAGTGAGCTGTGCTGTAGTTGTATTTCAAGAAATGTTCAAAGAGTGGGCACTTGATGCGAGCTGGCTCATCTTCAAACACTTGGATCTGCCTCATGGTATCAAGTCCCCAATCATCACAGCGTTCTGGAATGATCAAAAACAAAGAAGAGGCCAGTGAGTTATCTCATGTTAAAGGCCTGGAGAAAACACACCTTCTCAGGACACCCAATTTTTTCCAGAAACCCCCTTGTCTGGCTATGTTCAGTAGCCTCTCTGTAATAATAGCATGGGAGTAGTCACCTGTGGCATGAAGAAATGACTTTTCCACCTTCCTTTATCATCTTTTCATTACCTCATGGAGAATGATTTGATCTGATAACTTGATCCTGTCGTACCTTATAAGGTATGGGGGAGAATCTCGCCTGAAAAAAGCAGTCATGTGCTCTTTCACCCTCTGGAAACAGAGGAGGTTCTGAGGGGAAAATTATAACTGAAAAGACAACCCTCCAAGACTCTCAGTTCTTCCCTGGTCTCCTGATCTCCAGGCTAGATCTGCCGAGGCAAAGATATCTACATCATAGACTCAGGAGCAAAACTAGATATGTAATAAATAAAATGAAGTATGTCACTAAACTTTATGGTTGCTTATTAAGGCAACGTTTTTGTGGCAGCAGATAATTGAGAGAACAACTAAATTTGTGGTTACTTTAATTTTGATAAAAGCAAAGAATTTGAAGCTTTATGACTTGCAGAAGGATTTGTAAGCAATAAATCCCTAGGTAAGTAATAGGTCTCTGAGAAATTTAACAAACTGGCTTTTCCAAGTCTCAGCAAATTACTATTATTTATAATTGCTATGCTTTTAATAAGAAACACCTTTTAAAATCCAGTATACAAAGAAAGAATTGGGAAGATCAAAATGTTGTTCACACCAATACGAACATGATAGTAATTTTTTTCATAAAACATCTATCTTACCAAATTCTTCAAATACAATTTCATTAAAGCTACAAAGTTGCAGAATCAGCTCATTCAGTTTATAGGAAATTACAACCACAGTTTTTCCAGATGTATATGTCAGACTGAATATATACAACCATTTTCACCCCTTTCTGAAACTCCACTAAAACTAAAATAATTTTTTCAAGACATAACCCCAAGTAAGAGCAAAAATAGGAGAAAAGATAGTAACAACATCAAAATTGACAAGCTGTAACCAGTTCGGCCCATTTAAATAGATAAATCCTAAACCAGCAGGGAAAAGCTGGGGAGCACACCCATGTGCATTTCAGAACACTGGGAAAACCCAGAAGGAACTGCCAACCCCAAGATAAGGAATCACCATTGCCATTAGCCCAATATCTCTGGGTTCTCTTCCTAGGCATATTGTAAGAATCTGCTTTTCTGCCCCTCTGGAGGAGGGGCCATGTGACCGAGTTTGGCCAATATGATGTAGTGAGTGTCACTTGTGTTGATTATCTTAAGGGCTAGAGCATATTTTATCATGCTCCATTTTCTTCTGCCCTGGCAAATATAAAAGCACAGAGACTAAGCCTCCTTTAGCTTGGGTCCCTTGATGTAGATGACATACAGCAAAAGAAGAAAAAAAAAAAAAAAAAAAGAAGAGAACCATCAATTAAATAAGTTGATGAAAATAGACTTACCCCACAAAAATATTTTCTAAAATCGTGGAAAGAGTTTAAAAACTACCAAAGAGTAAGAAAGGAGATAAAAAATGATCACATACAAAAGACAGGAATCGAAATGGCTGTGGAAATTTCAAAAACAAGACAAGAAGCTAGAAAATAATGAAGTTATCTTCTTTTTTTTTTTTTTAACATATAATGTATTATTTTCAGGAAGAGAAAAATGAAGGCGGGGAAATAGGAGGGGGAGACGAACCATGAGAGACTATGGACTCTGAGAAACAAACTGAGGGTTCTAGAGGGGAGGGGTTGGGGGGATGGGTTAACCTGGTGATGGGTATTAAAGAGGGCACGTACTGAATGGAGCACTGGGTGTTATACGCAAACAATGGATCATGGAACACTACATCAAAAACTAATGATGTAATGTATGGTGATTAACACATCATCATAAAAAAAATAATGAAACAATATAGGTGAAGGGAAATTATTTCCAATCTTGAATCTAAACCCAAGGAAACAATCAAGTGTGAACATGGCATTTTCAGACACATCAAGACCCAGTAATTTTCCTTCCCATATGCTCTTTATCAGGAGGCTTCTGAGGTACTTGCTGTTACCAAAATGAGAGGGGGAAAAAATAGCAAATTATGGGATCGAGGAAGAGGGGATCCAATTCAAGAGAGAGGGGAAAGAAATCCGCAGAATAACAATGAAAGAGATCTCAGGCTAACAGCTATGCAGCGGGGTTTAGGGTGAACAAGTGTAAATAGAAGGTAATGGAAATCTCCAGTTAAAAAAATGATAATTGTAACTAATGAATTATCTGATGAAATTAGCACTGTGGAAAATTATGCTAAAAGGCAACTGTAAAGTATGAAAACAGTTACCCAAAAGGTCCAAATTAAAGTAAGCATATGAAGGCAAGGAAATTAATAACTTCCCAAAATAAGAAAGTAAACATAATCACAGTTCACTAATATATGAAGGCATATTAATTAAATGATTATTGATTTAACCAAATATTGTAGTATTAGCAGATAGAGAGGAAAGGGTAAGTTAAGGAGAGGGGATGGCTATTTAAGAGAGGAAAAAAAAATCTCATTTAATATAATTAAAAAGTGAACAATATAATGCCCGGGGTTACTAAATGAAAAATAGCAATATACACAAATTGATTAGCAAAATATAGATAGGAAATGCGAGAATAAATAAACAAAATACTTAAAAGTGGTGGCTGCTGAAGAAGAGAGCTAACGGATGTGAGGAAAGTTAAGGAAGAAAGAGTACAGTTTTTTTGGTATAAGCCTTTTAATATATTGGCCTTAAAAAAAATCTCCATGAATGATTTCCATTGAACATCATTAAAATAATAATTAAGAAAAAAAAAAAAGGAAGGGAGGAAGGGAGGGAGGGCATATCTATCATGCAACACAATTGGCAAAGCCATTCTCAGTGTTTAACCACCCTGATCGTATTTACTCTGTTAGGAAAAAAAAAAAAAGCCTTGATTTCATTTTTTAATTTGGTATCACTATGCTTTGGCACAGCAGTCATTTCACTTTTGACTCACCAAGTGATAGTTTAAAAGAAAAAGAGAACGACAGGCTGTTGGGCGGCTGATGGTGTCTGGACCTTCACCATATTATTTGTTATCTGAATGACAAAGATGCTACCGCCTTCCGCATTGCATAAAAATATTCTTTATGCTGCTCCTAAAGGCACCTCTCTCAAGAGCTCTGCACTATTTGTCCACATCTGGATGACAGCAGAGGCAAGGCGATCAGATGCAAATGATCGTCCTTCCTGCAACCCTACTCTCTGATATATCTCAATTCAGATCGCCCCAACTTGGGCCAGTAGACAGCAGTCTCACGCCATGACTCTCTTAACAGGAGCACTGGAAAACTGGAGAGAAAGAGGAAGCCCTTCGGAGGGCTAATGGTACTTTGATTAAAGGAGACTTCCTGACACCAACATTACAAATTATCACTTTGTTTGGTCCCTGGAGGTCTTTACAGTCCTGGGCACGATTAATAGTAAGATAGATGACAAGTGACAGGTCAATTTTTCTTGTGTAAAAGTAGGAGAATGCACACTGTGGAAAGGGAGACAAACAGAGAGCTGGTGGGACACCCCAACCACAAGCTGGTGTGACATCCCACCAACTTAGGAAGTACGAAATGGAACTTTGGTGACCACAAGGGTAGATGTGGCAGAGACTGGGTAAGTGTTCATGAACCCTGGTTGGAGACTACACAGATATCCTTAGCAACTGAACCGGAGCTATTTGATTTGGTTCCGGCCAATGAATGAGGCCAGAAATGGTTTATCCTGAAACTCCCAACATAATCTCCGACGCTCTCTCCTGTCCTCATATGGAGACCCTGAGGGCCAGAAAAGTTTGAATAAGGTAACTTCACAAGATGGAAGGAGTCTGGATTCCTCTCACTGCTTGGAGCAGAGCTCCACAGAGATGCCATCACTCTCTCAAGGGGCTGTGGTTGAGTGAAAAATCAACTTCTGTTGTGTTAAATCACTGAGATTTGGGGGACATGTCACAGTGACTAGCTTTACCTATCTTGACTACTAAAAGAAGGCAGAATTTTCCTTTTATAACATAACTCAATAAATCAAGTGCAGACACATTTTAAAATAGCATTTGTTAAAGGCCCTTGCATACTAAAATTCAAATACAGATCAATCACCAAGATTTGGGGCTGATTCCTGAGACTTAATATCTTTTCAATCAATAATGTGATTCATCTTAAAGTGGAAAAGAGATCATTACACCTGCTAGGTATCTCCCTTACAGAATGTTCCTTGGGCCAAATAAACATATCTATAAAGCGAATCAGCCTCCATTACATTAGGGACTGAAAACACACGTATCGGTATTCCTAAACATTAGCCCAGAAAAGGTATTATTATTGAGCTTTTTCTTTGGGTTATTTTCCCATTTGAAATTTGTTCTGTGAGTTTTTAAGTTTCCCTTGCCAGCCAGCCACCTGAGGGTATTTTGTCAGAGCTTTTTAAATTATCCAATGAACAAATAAAAATAAAATCTATGGCAACAGGCTGGAGTGTCATGTAATACCAAATTAATTATATGACTCACTGCAGGCACCAGCCGAAGAAAAGACTGAGGAAAAGGCTGTTATGCAAATAGATTTGTCTCTAATACCAGCAAAGGGAATTTAGCAAATTATTGGCACAGAGAATTACTTTTTGTGTAGAATGTCCGTTCTTACCCAGTTGACTCCACAGTGGAAGTCCTCTCTAAATTGGCCCTCAACATGGGGAGCCACAAAGTCATCGTTTTCCTCAGCCAAAGGATTTCTTAAGGCTGAGGCTTGGTGGCACTGAGAACTAATGGAATGTGCAAAGCCTCCCAAAGCCAAGTCACTGGAAAATCCAACCCACGCTCCTGACAGCAATTAGCATTTATATAGCAGGGTATACATTTTAACTAATTAATCTCACAACACCCTCTTGGGC